TTTTTTCCAAGGTTCCATTACATGAGAAAGATTACTTTCACTTTGTGGTGTTATAAGAAAGAACGTCGCCATAAAAACTTTCCTCCACCACAGCCGCCGCCGCTACCGCCGGTACCGTCCGCCGCCGCCGCTGCCGTCCTCGCTACAATTCAACTATAAACCACAAATCTAGTTTATCTTGGTATTCGTTCGATATTATATTTTCTCCTATAACTGGAAAATGATTGCAACTTTAATTGGAAAGATAATATAATATATATATATATATATATATATATATATATATATATATTATATATATATATATATATATATATATATATATATATATATATATATATATATATATATCATAGTTGCATTATCAGCATTAGCCGTAGTTATCATAAGTTGCAGTTATCAATGTTAGCTGCAGTTATCTCTCAAAGTAGGAACATACTACAAACGTTGGTTCTACATGACCATAACTTTTGAAGGGGTGGACCGGCAAGCCAGCGGAAGGCCTCGGTCAGATGACCAAAAGCTCCATAGGCGGGTCATCATCTGACTAAGACCCGCGTCAGGAAACATTTGTCCTGCTCCCTGACGAACCTTACCTAACCTAACTTAATTTTTTTTTTTATATTTTATTGAGAACGTATCTTGTACAGACAAACATAATACATATATATATATATATATATATATATAGAATGGACACACTGAGAACAATAAGTACATAAAGAAAATATCACACACACACACACACGTTGTTGTACACAGAAGAAACCCGACACAGAAAAACTATAAAATTTGCAAGCACACTATACACCACTCAAGCAACCTGTCAGTACATAGTATATATGAAAAACACTTAACATTGTCATGTCTCACTTTAACATAAGTGTGACGTGCAGCGGACCAAAACAACAGTACTCGTGTAGAGTTAAGTCAAGAAGACATCACACGTATATATTAATGTAACAAGAAAAACACATTCCTAATAACTACCCCCATCCTGGAGTTTACCTGGAGAAGGTAAACTCCAGGATAGGGGTAGTTATCCTGGGTTAAATTATACAGAAGTATCTGTATCCGCCGGAGCTACACACACCTTCGCCAAACACACTGGCTAATTACTGAACTAAACTTAAAGTAGGATGTTTGATAATTGGCGATAGGCTCTTCATACAAGGAACTGCACTTGTCATTTCTTGCCTCAATCAAATCTGACTACCTCAAATACCCAAGACAATCTATGACCCCGTGCTTATCGCTCCCCTATAATAATATTATTAATAAAGATAATAGTTATAGTGATCAGTGGTACCAGATATACTAAGCAAATTTCCTAAATTAGCTTGTAACAGATAAGTGAACTATAGATATGTAGATATAAATCCATATGTATTCCTGTTAACCCTTTGGGCCTAGTTCCTAGGCCTTTTGTGTATCCACATGCTCTCGCGCTACCGTCCACAGGATGGATATGGGGTGCACAATAAACTAGCCACTTCGGTGGCAAAATCTAAAAATCTAATCAGTGGTGGTATGGAAATAAGTCACTCTGTCTGACTTTTTTGGGTTATCCTAGGTTCTCTACACATATGCTGCTATGTATGATAATTCTATGTAACTGTATTAGTGTATACCTGAATAAACTTACTTACTTATGCGACAGAATGACTTGCGTTACTGATTCTCACAAGTCATCCCTTTATTGTGTTTGAAAAATTCACAGAAAACGGAATTTCCAGCTGCCGGATAAGAACTAAATAATTCAATTTACCTTTTACACAATCGTAATTATCACTCTTACGGTTTTATTATTATTAAAACACGGAAACATTCCTGCATCGTTAATATTCTTCCTATGTTGTATTTTAAATGAATTTACACACGATGTTGCCACACTCCTGCTGGAAACAAGTGGGAAGCGATTTCAATTGTTCTGTTGCAAGCAATAAACACACCGCGAGGCTTTCTAATCAATTAAACGTTAGCAATGTTGCAAGCTTGTGTTTTCCGGTTCTGTGATGTGTACGTATGAACTGCCACTTTTCCTAGATTCAGGTGGATCTAGGAAAGGGAAAGGTTGCTCCAATTCCTTTCCTAGATCCAGGTGAATCAAGGAAAGGGAAAGGTAGCTACAATTCCTTGGATCAAGGACCCTTCACTCAAGATACTCTCCCTCACACCCTATCTGAAAGGTTGCTCCTGGAAGGGGGTTGAGCATTAGCTCCTGGTCTCTTAGTCTCCCATGAGATTGTGTGGTTTTTGGGTGTAATAATGATAGTAGAATTAACGACAATATGTTAGGTACAAGGACACACGTGCAACTATTGTGACATTTTATTGTGGCAACGTTTCGCTCTCCAGGAGCTTTGTCAAGCTGTTACGTGTGTTTGGGGTGTTGGGTACTTGCTCTTGGTCCTGTCTTTTGAGGTTTATTTTCCGCTATTGCTGTTGCAAGTCTCTTGAGGCCTATCGTACACAGCCTTTAAGCTGTGTATGGAGTTTGTGTCCAACATTTCTTCATCCTATGTATTCCACGTCCCTGATCCCCTGAGACTAAAGAAATACTTCCCAGTATTCTTGTGGTTCATCTGTGTGCTTAGCGTACATATATATTATTCTGTAAACCATGTTCTTGGTCCTCTACCTGTTCCCTATTATTCTCTCTACGAGAGATATCACGGTCAGTTTCATTAGTCTCTCGTAGTGCATAGTGCACACAGGTGCACACCTGTGCTAAGCTCAGGGGCCAGTCCCTCTACACACCTGTGATAAGCTCAGAGATCAGTCCCTGTGCACACCTGTGATAAGCTCAGAGATCAGTCCCTGTGCACACCTGTGATAAGCTCAGAGATCAGTCCCTGTACACACCTGTGATAAGCTCAGAGATCAGTCCCTGTACACACCTGTGATAAGCTCAGAGATCAGTCCCTGTGCACACCTGTGATAAGCTCAGAGATCAGTCCCTGTGCACACCTGTGATAAGCTCAGAGATCAGTCCCACCGCACATCTGTTGAAGCTTCTAAACATATTTGATGGGACGGGAGCTTTACCCTGATGCTACATGTTCTAAGATGCGCTTGACATATGTCATGTACAGTCTTCTAAATTTAGGATTCTTTACCGAAACCGTTGAAGGCTGATATATACACAGTTGATGTGTTCCTTCACTGTTAAGTTCAATGTGATGTTCACTCCCAGACCCTTTACTCTTTGTAATTTCTCACCTCCCAGTCCGTACGCTGTCTACGATATTTTTCCTCAAATTGCATGACGCTGAACTTACTGGGATTGAACTCCAGCAGCCACTTGTTTGATTACCCTTGTAATTTATCTAAGTCATCCTGGAGGCCATCTTTGCCATTTCCTGCTCGTAATAAAATTAATAATATCCCATTACGAACAAAAATACAGGATTCAATCCCCCTTTGGCATCTTATTTGCATATATCGATAAGAGTAGTGACTACAATCCAGATCCTTGGAGAGCCCACTTGTCACTCTTATCTACTCAGACACTTCTGAACTCTCAGTCCTTGTCTTCTGTCTTTAACATGTTCCTTGATCCACTAGAGGAACTTTATGTTAAATGTTGTCTTGCACTCCCGGTCCACCCATCCCTGTCTATCTTGCTTAATCTCGGTAAATATCATTGAACGCCAGTTGATGAGCCGGTAACTCCCGTCCCTAAATCGGTGTCAGTTTTCGCTAACGAAGCCCCTTCTCTTAAAGTGCTACATTACACACCTCACATTACATTCATGGAGTGCTAAACCGGTAGGGAGGGTCATATATCTCCTGGGAGAGTGAGAGGTATTGAGATTGGATACAAAGAAGGGGAGCACAAGTCCAATTCCTTAGATAAAAGCCCCTCACTGGCATCAAGGAATCTCCCTTCAGGGGTATACGCCTCACAGTTTTCTCCGTTACTGTAGTTTAGTACCCTCGGTCTGCCCTGCTTCTTTCATGCAGAGACTGTATTAGCCAACTTCCAGCTATCTGGTAGATGTTCCGTCTCTAGCGACATGCATATCCTCACTGTGGACTCACACAGTGTTTGTACGCCTTCCCTCAGCACCCATTGGGATATGACTCACGAAATCGTAATGACACGATTGCAAACAAACCATACCACGGGCGGGGATAGAACCATTGGGATATGTTGCCAGGTCCCTAGACTGTTATTGTGTTCAGTTGCTGAGGTATCTTTCACGTCTCTCTCCGTTGTGTGAATGTCTTCTAGTGTATGTTGTCGAGTCACGGCCTCCATCTTTCTCACATCACTTCTTCAATATTTAGTTCCTGGCATATCTGCGTCTATTGTGTGTGTTCCTCCTTCACTCTTATACCTTTGTCTTTCTTAGTAACTTCGTGTATTTACCTATTTGTGGTTGCAGGGGTCGATTCACAGCTCTTGGCCCCGCCTCTTCGCTAGTCACCATGAGCTTCATCGTACCTCATCTTCGCGTGTGTATGAGAGAGAGAAATATTTAAACAAGCTCTGAATCCAAAAAAGGGCACCTCAGTCTTGAGCCCAGACAGCTACCAAGGGGACTTCACTTACACTACAAAATGTCAATAACATTACTGAAATTAATATTACAAAGCGATACAAACAAATTACTTACATTCCTCGACATAAATATTTTCAAATCAAATGAACCACAAGTCAATAAATCTTGATAAAAGTGGAAATTTCTCCATTTTTGCCGAGAAAGAGATGCTGGGTTATAGTGAGACAAGCATGGGGAGTGACACCTCACGGAGAAAGGTGGCCCTTACCATTTATTCTCAAGACTTTCAAACCTCACCACCGCGTTGAAGATTACCTACCGTCGGGGCACAACAAAGGTGTTATTAAACAAGGTGTTCTTAGATTACACAACATTACACAACACAGAAAGGCGTTTTAATTTACACAATAAATGTTTTAATTTACACAAGAAAGATGTTTTAATTTACATAAGGATATTCTTAACTTGCCTAGAGAAGTATTCATTACTTACCAGCTCTTTCTCTGTTCTTCCTGACGCGCTTCCTGTCGTCAGCGAGCATCAGGGGCGCCGTGAGCAGCACCAACAGCGCCAGCAACAGGAGACACCTCCCCGCCTTCATGATGGAGGGCCACGCACACACTACACACCCCCACCACTCCTCCACAGCACCTCCACACACTGCTTCCACAAGCACCGGCTTCTCTCCCTCTCCAGGTGACAGCAGCCTCGCAGTCACAATTCAGAATAACTGGAAAGAGGCACCAGGGAGAGCAACAGCCGTGGACAGGAATAGGTAGCGAGTTGTTGATTGTGGGTTGTGGGCGTTGAGTTGCTGGTGGTGGGTTGTTGATTGTGCGTTGTGGGCGGTGGGTTGCTGGTGGTGGGTTGTTGATTGTGCGCTGTGGGCGGTGGGTCGCTGGTGGTGGGTTTAGGCAGGTCTCGATCAAAATAATTGGAATGAGATTCCAGAAACAGCAGCAGCGGTGAACATGACTGAGCGGTAGTGGAGAGGGGCGTCACGGCTGGATGAACCAGGAGCACCACAACACTGTGGATGACAGTGGGGAACCTTGAAAGCCAAGAGAGGGCGTGAAGGACGGTGGATGATGACAGAGTGGACAGAAGACGGTCCAGAAACGATTTCGCCGGCGAATCGGTAGGTCTGAAACACCCAGTGATGGAATCTGATCGGCAAGAAGCTGTCCAAGGTGAAGCAGCGATTCTCGTCTCACGAGAAACAATACCCAGCTAGAAAACTGTCTTTCAAGTACTCTTGTTTATTTTTGCTAAAAGATAACTACACACACTCACCGACTCTCTCAATATTATCTCTTGAGAAATATTTTCGTCCAGTGACTAGTTCTATTGTTAGATAACTGAAACTAAATGTTCATGACACAAGCGCGACCTTCCAGCTCTGAGAATCATCATTTCAACATCTCAAGTATCAGTACACAGACCTGCCAATACACAATAACATGAAATATCAGAAGATGATTATAAATCATTCATTAACGGAACGAGCAAAACAATGTCAATAATTTAGTGAGAAACTTTTCTAATAATAATAATATGCACAGGTAGATAGATACAAGTTTTATTTACTTGTCAGCATCGGATTATATGGGAAAGATAAACTATTTTTATATGTGGAGGGTCAAGGATACATAATGTGTCTGGTATACACGTGAAGGGTCAGGTATACATGTGATGGGACAAAGATGTACGGGAAGGGTCGGGGATACTCATAAAGAATCAGACTACACGTGAAGCGTCAAGAATATACGTGGTCAGGTATACACATGAAGGGCCAGGGATACACGTGAAGGGTCAGGGATACGTGTGGAAGGCCAGGGATACGTGTGGAGGGCCAGGGATACATGTGGAGGACTTTATCCACAGATGAAAAACTCAAGGATTTTTTCAGTTAAACCCGATCATAATGTCTCATTAAGAGACAAATTCCAATGTAATTTCATCGGAATTTAATATTAAGACGCTGTTACCAGAGGTTGAATTTTTATTATGAATAATTTTTCATTCACGTTTTCAGATTCAACTGTGATTATGGCGAAAGCAAATGCGCGTACCACTGGAGTTCCACGGACACCGGTTAATATGGTCAATGTCGACGGAATTACTGGAGATTAAATTACAAAGGAAACCTTAAGTTGCGACCTTCTTCCACCATACGTCTAATATACACATAGAAATACACTCCATCCTGTAAGCAGGTGTTATTAGCATGAAGTACACTCGACATAGTCCTGAAATAGTCATATGCTGAAGCAGCTACTACAGCGGACTTAACCAGGGACGGAACTTCGGACCGACCCATCGGTGGACTGTTGATGGTTCCCAGGAAAGCCTTTCAGGGTATTAATCACTCTTTTCCACCATCACCTCACAGAAAAGTCTCTCCGGGAGGTCGCGGTGATGGTCTTTTGAGTTTAAAGTTTAGAAGACAGGATCCTACATGGCTGAAAAAAACACTTTCTGGGTTCAACATTGTAGTTTTTTTTGACGAATAAAACAAGAAGAACCAGAGCATATGAAAGTCTTCAGTGACTCTAGATTGGCTCTTCGACATCGTTCAGCAAAAGGCGTTGTTGATCAAGCTCGAAGTCCATCAGTGCCTCCTTTCCCAGAGAAAAGTATGGCGAACGGTCTTCATGGGATACATTGACTTGAAGGCTGAGACGAAGGCCACGTTGACGCGTGCGAACACAGTATCAAGCGAATGTTGCTGGAAGATCATAGGAAGGAGACTGCATCTACACCTATAGTACCGAACTCTTTCGTCTTCAAGCCGAGAATAGTGAAGATGGTGCAGGGAAAGCTTGCGGAAGCTCGCAGATATGTGCATGTTAATATCTTCCCGGACGACCCAGCAGGATGGTAGTAACTCAAAAACTCTCAGCTTCCAGTGATCTGTACGGGCAATCAGGTTTGATCCGAGGAAGACAGACCTTGCTTCTTGAAAGGTTAGTACTAGAAAGCAGCACAGTTTGAGTGGACGGGAAGACCTAGCTGCCCTCCGTCTCTTCTCCCTACATATGTAATAATCACAACGCTGACAAACAAACACATGGCGCTACGCAGTGTAACAAAGACATCAATAACAGCACCTCACCCACACAAAAAGAAATAGCACCATTTCCGCCACCCACCCGCCCACTGCCACCCATCACGTGCCGTCCTCTGCAGCCAGCATGGGCGGTCTCACTTAACGTACGTGCACTCAGACGTACGTTCGTATACACACACACACACACACACACACACACACACACACACACACACACACACACACACACACACACACACACACAGTCTAGCAAATGTAGCTAAGAGCAGCCTTCAGGCATATTAACAGTCATTCCGGAGCCTTTATAGAATATATATCAAGCCCATCTTAGAGTACGCAGCACCAGCATTAAACACACCTAAAAAAACATTTTCAGATGCTGTTGAAAGGGCAGAAAAATGCAACTAGGCAACTTCCAGAACTAAGGGACATGAACTGGGAGGAGTGGCAACGAAAATGAATCTAACCACATTGGACAGAAAAACCAGGGGAGACATGGGAACAATATACAAAGTACTCAGAGGAGCTGATAGGGTAGGCAGGGCTACACTGTTTGAAAGGCGGGAAACAGGTACTCAGGGACACACTTGGAAGTTAAAGACGCAGATGAACCACAAGAATGTCAAAAAGTATTTTTTTTTTTTGTCTCAGAGTGGTCGGGAAGTGGAATGACATCGACCTCGACTTCGATAAATGTGCCATGACAGAAGTCAAGCCTAGTGCACATATTCGTAACCTGATCCAATTATTACAAATAGGGATTAGTTATGGATCCCATACCCATTATATAATATATATATATATATATATATATATATATATATATATATATATATATATATATATATATATATATATATATATATGCAATAAGATCACGGTAAACAGTGATTTCAGAATATGCAAAACAACCACTCTGAAAGATTAGAGAAATTCCAAGCGCTTTCGTGACTACTCACATTATCAAGGAACTATGAAAGTAAAGCATCCAATGAAGCTATGTAAGGGGTCTGGCCAGCACCTCACTATCAGATCCCACAACGGTTAAACACCTGACGCGCGCCGGCCCAACTGGACGGTTCCTTTGCACAACTCACCAACAAACTATTCTACCCAAGAAAATTTAAAAATTATTATTTGTCCAGTGTATTATTAAATTCTTCCCAAATTCTATTAATTATAAATGGATCTAATTTATATAAACCAAAGGAAATATTCATATTATTGTCAAAACTGCTTTTTATGAAACAAGATTCAATTACATTCCTGTCGACCATGGACTTGCTTGATACTACTTTCTCAACTTTTTGAAAATCAATTGGATGGTTAAAATCTCTTACATGAATAAATAGAGCATTGGAATCTTGTCCAGTTCTAATGCTATATTTATGTTGTTTTAATCTTAGTTCGAGATTTTTACCAGTTTGACCGTAATAAACTTTATCGCTAATTTTACAAGGAATCTTACAGACACATCCATCAGCATTTTGGGGGGAATTCTTTATCAAAAGTTTTTTTTACTGTATCTAGATTTTTGAATACAACTTTAATATTAAAAGTCTTAAGAAGAGAAGGCATATCAACCAAGTTTTCATGGTAAGGGAGAACCAACATATTTTTAGTTGAATAAGACTGGTTGTCCCTTTTTGGATTGTTAAAAGTATTTCTAGCAACTTTGTGTCTATAAGATGTGTCTATAAGATTCCTTGTAAAATTTGTGATAAAGTTTATTACGGTCAAACTGGTAAAAATCTCGAAGATTAAAACAACATAAATATAGCATTAGAACTGGACAAGATTCCAATGCTCTATTTATTCATGTAAGAGATTTTAACCATCCAATTGATTTTCAAAAAGTTGAGAAAGTAGTATCAAGCAAGTCCATGGTCGACAGGAATATAATTGAATCTTGTTTCATAAAAAGCAGTTTTGACAATAATATGAATATTTCCTTTGGTTTATATAAATTAGATCCATTTATAATTAATAGAATTTGGGAAGAATTTAATAATACACTGGACAAATAATAATTTTTAAATTTTCTTGGGTAGAATAGTTTGTTGGTGAGTTGTGCAAAGGAACCGTCCAGTTGGGCCGGCGCGCGTCAGGTGTTTAACCGTTGTGGGATCTGATAGTGAGGTGCTGGCCAGACCCCTTATATAGCTTCCTTGGATGCTTTACTTTCATAGTTCCTTGATAATGTGAGTAGTCATGAAAGCGCTTGGAATTTCTCTATTCTTTCAGAGTGGTTGTTTTGCGTATATATATATATATATATATATATATATATATATATATATATATATATAATATATATAAATATATATATATATATATATATATATTAATTTGAACATGATACAGAGAAGTACAAAAGAATACAGTTAAATGAAGCATGCCAAAGCCACTTGAATGCATAGCATTACGGGCAGGCTTAAAATTAACTTAACAATGAAGTATTCAGTGGTAAAACATTATTGTAAACAGATAACAATTAAGCACAAATGAGTATTACAAAAAAAAAAAAACGTCGTATGGTTGCTTGCACTGCTGTACAATCAGTATTTATTTATTAATTTGAACATGATACAGAGAAGTACAAGGAATACAATTTTTAAAGTGCAACATGCCAAAGTCCCTTGTATGTAGAGCATTATGGGCAGGATTAAAATTAACTTAAGATTAACTAAGCAATGATATATTCAGTGGTACAAAAATTATTGTAAAACAGATAACAATTTAGTACAAATGAGTATTACAAAGACAGGTCATATGGTCATTACTGTGTTGCTGTGTAATCAGTAGAATGGAGTATTATGTTAGGTAATAAAGTTAAATAGTAACAAAGTTTGATTGGGTCACAGGTTGACATTTATGAGATACAATAATGAGACATATATGAGATACAATTTATGAGATACAATTATTCAGTATTTATTTAGTTGTGGGTGAGTACGTGATTTTTAAGAAGAGACTTGAATTTATAAACAGACAGTGTTTCTTTTATATTCACAGGTAATGAATTCCAAATTTTAGGCCTTTTATGTCATTAGTTTTTGCATAGCGTAGATGGACACGAGAACATCAAAGAGTGATCTGTGTCTTGTGTTATGGTCATGTGTTCTGTTGAGTTGGAAGGAGATGTTTGAGGGAGGGTTTTTATGTCAGAGTTAAGTGTTTCTATGTATGTATTTAGGTGCAGTAATAAGTATGGATGTTTTTATTGTGAGTATGGTGTAGGAGTTTTGAATATTGGTGGAGTGTGCTGTCTGGTAAAATATATAATATCTATATATATATTTTATATATATATATTATATATATAATAATATATATATATATAATATATATATCGTGCCGAATAGGCAGAACTTGCTATCTTGGCTTAAATAGCAACGCTCATCTTGCCATATAGGACAAGTGAAAATTTGTGTATGCAATAATTTCGCCAAAATCATTCTGAACCTATCGAAAAAAATATATTTGATTGTGTTTGTTTAGTACTAAATTATTGTAAACGTATTTAAAATATATTTAGTTGGGTTAGGCTAAAATAAATTGCTTTTCCTATAATAAGGTTAGGTAAGTTTTCTAAGATTCTTTTGGTGCAAAATTAAAAATTTTTGCATTGACATTAATGAAAAAATATATCTTTAAACGTATAAGAGAAAATTCCAGAAAGGACTTAATTTTAAATGAGTTCTTGCTAATTGACCAGTATTGATGGCAAATGTTAAATTTTCACGAAAATACAATATTTTTTTTGGCGATTTTCGAACTCATGACACTGGTGATGGTGTTTGTTCAGCAAGAAATAAGACAAATGATTTTTGCCACAGGTATTTGTCAAATGGTGATGATTCATTAAGTGGCTAGCTAATTATTGGCTAACCTAACAGGGCTAGGTTTCACACCCCCACTTTTAGGAAAAAATGAGAAACACCACAGTGTAATGTTTGAATACAACATTGGCACTTACACCTATGGTCGTCACTATTAATAATATTCGATGATAACCACTCCATGAATCAGTTAATCCATAAATATGATCTTCATAGTCGTCACTGTTTCACGCTTAAGATGGGAAATATTCATTTGTTATGTCTACTTATTACATACCAAGAATTTCCCCTTTTGAAGTAGTTTCTTTATTGTCACTGAGTGACATGCGTTAATTCCTGAGCTCTGAGCGACGTATGTAAGTCACAGAGCTTTGAGCGACATGTGTCAGTTTAAAAGCACTGAGCGACAGACGTCAAGTTGTAAAGCTTTGGCAGACAAGTCATTTTCAGAGACAGACATACATTTCAGAGCTTTGAAAATCAAGCCATTTCGGAAGCATTTTAACAACAAACGTCATGTCTAGAGACCTGAGAAACAGAAGTTGTTCTCAGAGTGTTGAGCAACAGACGTCAGTAACTGATTTAGAACACTTGACGTTAAAGGAGAGAGAGAGAGAGATTGATACACAGTGTAGTGAAGGCAGGAGGAGCAGCGGTGAACAACACAATCACTTCACAGGTCTGGAAGGTACTGAACAGCGAGGCTGGAAGTTGGAACGTCCTCTCTCCTCACTGCCAGAGTCAATGGCACCTCCCACCCACCTCACGGGAGGTGCTTCTCTCCATCCCGGTAAAGGGCTCTTGATCCTTTCCCCTTCCTTGGATCGAATATGATAGCCTCTCCTTTCCCCAGGCGCTGTATGACTCCCTACGGGTCTAGCACTCCCCTATAATATAAAAAGGGTGCTGACTCCTCCTACCTAAGTTGCTGGCTTGGCTGGTTGAGTTTAAAGCCTGTCGACTGAATGAGGTGTCACTACACATCTCTAAAAAGGTGAACTTGCCAAAGCTCGACTCAGCAAACTATACAGGTTTAATCAAGCTCCTTCCCACATCAAGAAACACCTGTACAAGATGAAGATAAGACCTATGTTAGAATATCCTTGTGTACTGTGAAGGCTTACTCAGCCCTGTAACAACTTCAGACAGTATTACCCAGGCTGGCTCCTCCTCAGGAAAATTAATGAATAGAAAAAGAAATAATAACAAACATAAACACTTTATTATATAGAAAATATAAAATATAAAACACTTAAATATGAAATATTAATCCCACATTAAAGAAAATGGAAAATGAAAAATATAAATGATAACTGAATTCAACGCTAATTTAAAACTGGGTGTGCTGATGTTGTGACACAGTGTTGATGAAATCGTAGGCCGTGCATGAATGATGGGGGGGGGGGAGGGTCGCAGGTGTTGGTTTACATCCACCGGTTCGTTATTCACAAGTAAGAGGCCTGAGTAATATATCCCGATGACAGGGAAAAGCAGGATCATGTACCACTGTAATTGATGAGGTTACGTCTGCAATTTCTACAGGTGCACAGGTAAATAAATCCAAAAAGGGGAAGGTCTCAGGACGTTAGTCCATCTCCATCATTCTTACTCGTTGATTGGCAGGTGACCCTCTCTATCATCCCAACTGGAAAGGATAGACAGGTTACCCCACTGCTAAGAATCACTCGTCCATGAGAAGTACAATACCTAAAAGATGTGGTGATTATTACAACAGTCAACATAAGCAGACTGAAAGGACTAAGTTAATTATTGGTCAAAAGTGAAGCTTATAACCAATAAATCCACTAGAATACAAGGCAGGGCATTTACTTACATTAGTGCTGGGAGCTGTGAGCTAAGTGATTAACTGTTTGGGACTGAGCCTCAACACGTCACCTTTCGGGGGGGGGGGGGAAGAAGGAGGGAAGGGAAAGCAGGATCCTAGACTGACCCTACCATAACAAGCAGCCGTCAGTCAAACTATCACCATTCGGGGTGGGGGAAAAACAGGCGGAAAATAGAGGACTTGACTTACCCTACCTTAACAATTAGCAGGCATGAAACTATTGTTCCTATATACATCCCTCGCACACCTAGGCATCTCATGAACTTTTCCTCACACTCCCCTATACCAAGACTTATAGTCCAAGGAGTATAAGAAGAATAGCGAGAAAAAGTTTCTAACATATGGAAGTTGGCGTAAGGCTAAGAAATCTACTGACTGTCACGACTTAACCCAGACAGAGAAATAATTGGATGAACCATTGATATACACAATAGGAACTTGTAAAAGCCGGAGTGCCAATTTCATCACCTCAGAAGCGACTGTTTGGTTCCCTTAAAACTTTCAAGGTATATCAAGAGGTTGTGGTCAGTTTCTAAATGAATTCTTTCCCAGCAAATAAAATTTAATTTGAGAGATACCCCACACAAGGCCAAACATTCACTTTTCTATGGTGAGTATCTCGTTTATCAAGTCGCAGGAAGGAGCTTTCCGGCTTAGAAGCATAATAGGGAAGGGATATACCATCATGGAATGTCTAGTTACACCGCATCCTAAAGACAGTATTGGACGATCTCAGTTTCTTAACAACAAAAATGTTTATTAATAATCTGTATAATCTTAAGTATAGGGTCTTCAAAAAGATACTTTTAATGTCATAAAACTTTTTACCCCGAGCATACGTCGGAAAGTTCAAGAGGATCCTTCACAGCTATTTAAGGACTTCGATAAGATGCCTGTAAGAATCAATAAGGTTATCGCGATAAACCGGCATAAAAATTTTGACAGAACCAAGAAAGACTACGCATGGCGCTTCTGGTTTTGAGGGGAATTTAAATCGTAATAAAGCATTTGACTCTTACTGGGAGAGAGGCCTGCCAGAGAGTAATTAGAAAGTATCAGTCCAAGATAGCTTAACCTCTTGTTATACCCACAGAATCATTTCTTCGACTTGGCAGTAGCCATGTGAGCGTAACCTACCGCAAAAAAACTGAAGTTAAAATCGTTTTGGATGTATTCGCACCCCCACGTGGATGCCATATAACGAAATGTTATCAAAAATAAACTGAAAACATTTGGCATCATTACCATACAAGGACCTTTCTCATCAGTCTCACGTAGGTAGCACAGGCAGTTACCAAACAACCGAAGGGCATACAGTTCTAATATTGCATCAGTACCTTGTGTGTTAGAACACAGACGGTTCTATACATGCCTTAGAAAGAAGGATCTAACAATACTAGATGATAGCCTGCAGACATATCAATCTCTGAACAAAGAAGGAAGAGTCATAAAATTTTGTAGATCGCTATCTATTAAGGGCAACAGGCACACATCACCACCGAGTTACTAGCATTAATGCCTCTGAAGTCATAGACAAGTCCTATATGAATTATCCTCCTTCTATAACCATACTCACAACTGGTGAACAATATGAAAGATACTGTCGAAAGAGAACAAATGATCTTTTACGTATTAATAATTTGTCACCTCTACGGCTCAAAATGCATCCCCTAAGTGAACTAGGAACTGGGTAAAAATTTTCGTTTGATAGGATTGTCCGTCACTAAGTCAATCTTATGGACTATCCGTGGAGGTAAAAACACCGGAAAATCATGTAAAGACTTCCAAGAAAAGTTACTCACGACATTGAAGTAGTTCCATAACTCTAAGGTCATGCCAAAGATTCATTAATAATATAGTTGATTGCGTCCAGTGGTCAAGAGTCACCAAGTCAAGTAGTTCTTCATCATAGTCTAATTAGAGGTGTCAAATACTGCCACACTTACATTCTTCAGTTGTCGTAATCAAGTTCGTGGTGGAAAAAAACTAAGTCAAAGTTATTGAATGCAGTAAACCGAAATTTCTCGGTAAAATTTCTTAATGATGTTGATATCGATAAAGCTGAGGACATCGTTTCCCCTTGACTTCTATAGGTAGTTCAACTTTCCAAAAAATATTTAATACCTTATATGGACCATTCCATGCTACTAATAATTTATTTTAGCCTGAATCGGCAAAAGTACAATGAACTTCATCCCCTACATTAAAACTTTCTTCCTCTGACTTTTGGAATTCGAAAATAAGGTGGTTGTTAACTGGTCCATTGACAAGGCTAGGTTTTTGCGAACTAGTCAGAGGTCTCCCTCAAGTTTGGATCTAAGTCAAGAAAACATGGTAGAGAAGACGAACCGTCAGTTCACGTCACCTCCTCATTAGTCCATAAGTCATGAAGAATGGACAATGGGCCTCTGGCCTGACTACCATAGATAGTCAAAAGGTGAAACCCCAAAGAAGTCAACTGGGAACTTCCCTTCATGGTAAACAAAGCACAGGGGTAGTAATCGATCCCGACTCTTAGGTTTAAAGGAGCAAAGTTTCCTTAAAATGGACTTGTAGAGAATCGAATGCGGCAGCTACATCCTCCCATTACATGCTGGATGATTAAGGGTGTGGTGAAAGGAGGCTGTCACCCCAGAAGTTGGAATAGATGGTTCAATTAAGTCAGATGTAATTGTGTCCCACGGTCAGACAAATTTCTCTAGATGCCCACCTGGAGAAGATGGACAAAAGGGCTATCAGCCACCTCTGTAGTAGTTATGGTATTTTAAGGGGTATGGCTTCAGGAAACTCCGAAGCATAATCAACTAATTTTAATATAATGTCTATGACCCCCCAGATGAAAGTGGAGATAAAGGGACCAATCGATGTTCAATAGCTTAACTCTATCACAATGTCACCTGTAAAGAACTGGAATTTTTGACCATAGGTACTTCGGCCTGGTACCTCGGGCAGGATGACATTGGCAAACTTACACGATCTACAATAGAAAGTGGACGTCTGAGGACATTTTATGGCCAAAAAAATGTTTCACTAATTTAATTAAGGTTTTACGATCGAGAAATGTCCGGGCCACTGCAGGATTCATGAGAGCCATTTAAGAACATACTCTCTGCATTGACGTGGCGAACAACTACGATGGAATAGTCTTCTCACTGAATTTAATTTATGCTGACTTGTAAAAGATAGCCATGTTATTATATTCAAATTTAATGAAAAGTTTTTCCTTTGGATAACCTTTTGAGGGTGGGGGGGAAAACTTTGTTTAGGCGGCATTATGGCAATTCTGAAGAAGAAGGCAAATACGTTGTAAAGTGACAAAGGAGTCCTATCGAGTATGACTAAAGGCTTAAGTCAGGGAAAATCAAGATGGACAGTAGGGAAATGCCTGGGCTGTCTGACCCTAGACAAGAACATATATAGTATCGGAGGTGATATCTCACTTTCACTAAAAGTGAACCGGTGATCCTACTAACCACGCTTTTCGAGAGTAGCATCACTGGTTTTTAAACCCACAGAATCTCACGAGCCATTGTTCCGCATCTGAACTTTCGAGGTGGGCTTTTCCTCTGACTCTACAGAAAGATGATCTCTGAAACACCTATTCCTTCTTTGGTGATGAAAGGTCAACCACAGGAAGGAAGAATGGCAACCTTTACATTACCTTTAGTAACAGAGCAAGAAGTGATGGGAGCTAGTACGGCTTCAGACCAACCTGTGAACCAATTAGACCTAATTTACAATGGATGGTAATGAAAAGTGCCGTACGGCCCAAGTAGTCCTGAAAGTATACACGAGGAATGAGTTTCTTTAAGGATAGGGAATCAGCTAATCCAGAAATGACTAACATGTGTGCAACCTGTGTCTCGTAAAATGGTA